AGAACATGGGCAACAAGGACTCAATATATTGCCAAGAGAAATGTAAACTGGGACAATGTCCATAAAGAACAATTTGGCAATACCTATCAAAATTTTAAATGCACTAAGACTGGATCCTGTACTAAAGGAAAAAAATTCTATAAAGGGCATTATTGGCCAGGCATGATGGGTCATGCTTGTAATCCTAATGCTTGGGAGGCCAAGGTGGGAGAATCACTTGAGGCCAGGAGTTTGAGACCACCCTGGACAACATAGTGAATCTCCATCTCTACAAAAATTTTAAAAATTAGCTGTGCATGCTGGCAAGCACCTTTAGCCCCAGCTACTTGGGAGGCTGAGGTAGGAGGACTGCTTGATTCCAGGAGTTCAAGGCTGCAGTATGTTATGATCACACCACCACACTCTTGCCTGGGCAACAGAGTAAGACCCTGTCTCTTCTTTTTTTTTCAAGACAGAATCTCACTCTGTTGCCCAGGCTAGAGTGCCCTGGCATCAGCCTAGCCTCCAGCAACCTCCAACTCCTGGGCTCAAGTGATCCTCCTGCCTCAGCCTCCCGAGTAGCTGGGACTACAGGCATGTGCCACCACACCTGGCTAATTTTTTTCCTATATATTTTAGTTGTCCGGCTAATGTCTTTTATTTTTAGTAGAAATGGGGTCTCGCTCTTGCTCAGGTTGGTCTCCAACTCCTGAGCTCAAATGATCCACCCAACTCGGCCACCCAGAGTGCTAGGATTACAGGCGTGAGCCACCATGCCCAGCTGACCTGGTCTTTAAAAAAAAAAAAAAAAGGACATTATTGGACAACTGACAAAACTGAAATTTGAAAAGTAGTTGTTCACATAAAACTATTGTATCAATGTTATATGTGGTTACATAAAAGAAAAATCTTACTCTTAGGAATTACTTACTTAAGTACTTAGAGAGGTAAAAGACCATGATGTATATGATTTATTCCCATATGATTTAGGAAAAAATCTATAGTTGGAGGGTAGGGGAGAGAAAACACTAATGAAAAAGCTTATCAGATCTGGATAAAGAGTATATGGATGTTTAAATGCATATACCCTCTGAGCTAGCAATTCCACCTCTAGGTATTGAATCCAGAAATATACTTGAACTGCTACAAGATGAAGGATGTAAAAAGTATTTATTATAGCATTTTTTATAAAATCAAAAATTTAAATGTCATGGGACTACTTAAGCTATACAGTGAAACACTATGCCACTATTAATTTAAAAATGAGATAGCTCATTAAGTACATATGTTGAAAAATCTCCAAGATTTAATGTTTAAGAGCACAATAATATGTATAGTATGTACAGTATCACACATAAATCCTTGACGTTTCCATGGATGAAAATACAAGAAACTGAAAAAAGTGGCTGCCTCTAGGATAAGAAACTGACTAAAGGAATGGGGTAGAAGGGACTTACTTTTACTATATATTCTCTTGTACTGTTACAAAAACATATAGTATATACAAATGCATAAGCTAGTTAGAAATAGTACCTTTTTTAAAAACCTGTGCAATTAGATAATCTTTGTCCTAAATTACTTTCTCTAACCATACAGGAACCTCCCTTCATTGTTATGATCTGCTTAGGTTCCTTTTTCTGGTTTCTTAGCAAAACTAGTGTTTTACTTTTTACAGACCAGGACTCCCAAGAAATCCAAAAGTTTCCAACACAGTCCATACTGGTTAATGCCTTCTGCATCTGAAGTCTCCTTTGTCAATTTTAGCCAAGTGTCAGCAAATGACATGTAACAGCCTAGACTTTCCAGAGATTATTAAGGTACTTAAGGTAGGATTTTCAATCCCAGTCTTTTATCCATATAATGAGCATGAACAATCTTTCTCTGTACCAAGGGAAAAGAATCTATGAGAAACGATAGAAAAGAACTCTGGAACTGTTGTTTTAGGAGGCTGAGGCAGGAAGATTTCTTGAGGCAGGGAGTTGGAGACCAGCCTGAGCCAGAGCAAGACTCCGTCTCTACAAAAAATAGAAAAATTAGCCAGGCATGGTGGCACATGCCTGTAGTCCCAGCTACTTGGGAGGCTGAGGCAGAAAGATTGCTTGAGCCCAGGAATTTGAGGTTGCTGTGAGCTAGGCTGATGCCACGGAACTCTAGCCCGGGCAATAGAGTGAGACTCTGTCGCAAAAAAAAAAAAAAAAAAGAAAAGAAATTAGTGAAAAATAGTAACAGATGTTGAGGGGGCATGAGAGACACTCCATTATGCAAAGTGCATAAGGTTTAATACATGGATTTCATAAAATTAAGTCTCTCTGATCAAAAACCTTGTTTTCTTTATCTTTTTTTCAAGCTGGGTTCTTCATTAAACAGGTTGGGACCTAGACCCTAACATCTGTGGTGGTTTAAAATATGTCCACAAGGAATGGGAGAATAGATGTTGGGTCAAAAGATACAAAATTTCAATTATATAGGAGGAATAAGTTCAAGAGATCTCTTATACAACATGTTGACTATAGTCAAAAACAATGTTATTTTATTTTGAAAATTGCTAAGAGTAGATTTTAATTAAGTGGTCTTACCACAAAAGATAAGTATGTGAGGTAATACATGTTAATTAGCTTAACTGAGCCATTCTAGTATATACACAGTTCAAAACCTCATGTTGTATGTGATAAATATATACAATTTTTATTCAATTTTAAAAATTAGGTAAATTTAAAAAAATTAAATATGCCAACAAATTCTTTGACACTCCCTTCAAAAGATGGCACCTACTAAGTCCTCTATCATTGAGGAAGAGGTGGACTTAGTAACTTGTACCAAAAAAATAAAGTGAGAATGTCTCTAGAGTAAGCTGGCTGAAGAAATAAATAAAACTAAATAAAAATAAAATAGAAAAAAAATTTAAAAAACAAACAAACAAAAATGTGACAATGTACAAATTCAGAGACTAGGTTATAAAAGGCACTACAGCTCCTGTCTTGGTCTTGTACTTGGACCCCTAAATCTGCAGGAAGCTGCTGCTATGTCATGAGCACACCTCAGGCCACCCTTTGGAGAAGTGAGCCCTCCTGCCAAAAGTTATGTGAGTAAGCCACCTTGGAGGTGGATCCTCCCTCCCACCCAAGTCAAATCTTCAGGTGACTGCAGCCCCACATGAAAGAACCACATGGGAGAACCACAAACCTAAGCCACCTCCAATTCCTGACCTAAAGAAATAGCGATAACAGATGTTTGTCATTTTAAGAGACTAAAGTTTGATACGGTTTGTTTCATGACAATAATATATAATATCCAACACATAACATATTATCATATGCCAATTAGAGTTTGACAAAAAAGCCAAAACTTTGTAATAAAAAGTAGCAAATAAGGAGAAAATGAAACTAAATTAATAAAGCCCAAACTATTAAATCTACTCATATTCTGAATGACATGTGGTGTGGCCATAGCAAGTCTCTGTGCTTCAGTTGTTTCATATAATAAGTTGATGTCAGATTATATGATGTCTGAAACCACTTAACACAGTGCCTGGCATATGACAGGCCTCAAAAATGTCCATAGAACAAATTGTATGTCATTAGTAAATCACTTGTGTGAAATTTTACAAAACACTTTTCCTGTATAAATAGTATTAACCACAGAACTATAGACTGGGAAATATAGGTTTATATCAACTAGTCTGGAAAGCAAAAGCACCACTAATAAAAACATTTTCGTCCTACTGCTTCACTTGACTAGCCAAAAAAAAAAAAAGGAAAAATTCTGTGAAAAAAAGATGGACTTTATACAAGTCAAGAATACACTTCAGCCGGGCGTGGTGGCTCACGCCTGTAATCCTAGCACTCTGGGAGGCTGAGGCGGAAGGATTGCTCGAGGTCGGGAGTTAGAAACCAGCCTGAGCGAGACCCTGTCTCTACTAAAAATAGAAAGAAATTAATTGACCAACTACAAGTATATATACAAAAAAATTAGCCGGGCATGGTGGTGCGTGCCTGTAGTCCCAGCTACTCGGGAGGCTGAGGCAGGAGGATCGCTTGAGCCCAGGAGTTTGAGGTTGCTGTGAGCTAGGCTGACACCACAGCACTCACTCTAGCCTGGGCAACAAAAGTGAGACTCTGTCTCAAAAAAAAAAAAAAAGAATACAGATGGTATAACGCCAATATCTCTATAGGAAGTCCCATGTAAAATATCAATTAGCCATTTGTGGGTTTACCTATGTCATCTCCACTGGCACAAAAAGTATGCAAAAATAGGTATTATCACCTTTTTCAGAATCTGTATGGAACTTTTTTAGTCATAAAACTAGCAAAGTTAGATTCTGAAACTACTTCATCTGATTTCCAAACCCATATAATTTCCACTATAGCGCACTACTTCTAGAATTATGTAAAAAAGGTTTTTACACATTCTCTGACAGCAGCCAAAAAACATGTTGTGCTTACACACAGAATATATATATATATATATATAATATTTTTTCTTTTTTTTGAGACAGCAGTCTCCACTTTTTGGTTGCCCAGGCTAGAGTAGAGGCCGTGGCATACAGCCTAGCTCACAGCAACGCTCAACCTGGCGCTCACAGCGAATCCCCTGCCGTCAGGCCTCCCAAGTACTGGGACTACAGGCATCGCGCCACCATCGCCGCTAGTTTTTTTTTTTGTATATTATTTTTAAGTTGTCAATTGAATTTATTTGCTATTTTAGTTAGAATGACGGGTCTCGGCGTCAGGATGTTTCGAACTCCCAGCCTCGGAGCAATTCCCCCGCCTCGGCCTCCAGAGTGCTAGGATTACAGGCGTGAGCCACCGTGCCCGGCCTGAATATATATATTTTTATGCAGAGAGTTGCTGTTGTGCAATTTCAGAAACTTCACCAGGTTATAAAAGAATACTGCAACCTTGGAATCTGCATTCTGGATTCCACTAACTTCCTGAATAGTCTAATATCCAAATACCTTACAGATCCTAGGAAAGAAGTTATATAATAAAATCATACCTGTAATAATTCTCATAACTACTTACATTTCCTTCAAATGCTTTATTTCTTGAATAGTTTGAAAAGCAAGCTCTTGTAGCTTTTCTGGGGCAAAGCTATCACTTATTGCTTTTTGAAATACCTCATGAAGAACCGTACCAATTAGCATCTGATGTGTGGCTGGATCAGAGCTCTACGAAACAAATCATATGAATATTTTGTTTCACAACATATTTATGGAAGCAAATCATACAAACATTTTATTTCACAATATATTAACAGACATGATTGTATATTTATTATCTAATCTATTAAACCATCATAGCCAAAACACACTGGTAAGAAAAGGTTTTTTCTAATGCTGGGCTCAGTGGCTCATGGCTGTAATCCTAAACTCTGGGAGGCAGAGATGGGAGGATGGCTTGAGCTCAGGAGTTCAAGGCCAGCCTGAGCAAGAGCCATCTCTACTAAAAGTAGAAAAATTAGCTAGGCAGCAAGGTGTACACCTGTAATTCCAACTACTTGGGAGACTTAGGCAAGAGAATTGCTTGAGCCCAGGAGTTCGAGGTTGCAGTGAGCTATGACGATGACACTGGACCCTACCTAGGGTAAGAGAACAAGACTCTGTCTCAAAAAGAAAAAAAAAAGGTTTTTCTGGTGGGTGGGATTACAGGTAAATTTCACTTTCTTCTAATTCAGAATTATCTGCATTATTTTACAAGTATGAGTTATTTGTAAAATCAATATATTTCCCTTTTGAAAAAAATAATCAATATGAAAAAGTTGAACATATTCTCAAATATTTAATAATTTAAAAGTATTCTTCTGATCCTTTTATAGTTCATAATTAGCAGGATTGGGTGTTCATACATATGTGACATGTGCCTCCCTCAAACCTTGTTTCAATGTCAGCACATTACTTATCTGACATGAAATTTTAAACAAAACAAGAAGAAAAAAGTATTCTTTTTCTTAATTTCACTTTTATAATCTACCCAAATACAAAAGTCAATAAAGGCACAGCTCATAAACTCATGTAAAAAGATATCATTTAAACCTACAGCAGAGATCTTTGGCAAGAAAGTTCTCTCCATTCAAAAAAGAAAGAGTATTTATTTCTCAATTAACTTTTTTTTGTTTGTTTTTTTTTTTTTGAGACAGAGTCTTGCTTTGTTGCCCAGGCTAGAGTGAGTGCCATGGCGGCAGCCTAGCTCACAGCAACCTCAGACTCCTGGGCTCAAGCGATCCTACTGCCTCAGACTCTCTAGTAGCTGGGACTACAGGCATGCGCCACCATGCCCGGCTAATTTTTTCTGTATGTATTAGTTGGCCAATTAATTTTCTTTCTATTTCTAGTAGAGATGGGGTCTCGCTCTTGTTCAGGCTGGTTTCGAACTCCTGACCTCAAGCAATCCGCCCGCCTTGGCCTCCCAGAGAGCTAGGATTACAGGCGTGAGCCACCACGCCGGGCCTATATTTAAGTTTTTAAAAAAATTCTCAGTTGTCATTTACTCACAAAGTAATACAATATTTGGGAATGTTGGTTATTAATGTTCTGTACAGGGAGATTTATTATAATGATCTCTTTGTTTTTTCTGGTTTTTTTTGAGACAGAGTCTCTCTTGCCTGGGCTAGAGTGCCGTGGTGTCAGTCTAGCTCACAACCTCAAACTCCTGGGCTCAAGCAATTCTGCCTCAGCTTTCCTAGTAGCTGGGACTACAGGCATGCGCCACCATGCCTGGCTAATTTTTTCCATATATATATATATTTTAGCTGTCCAGTTAATTTCTTTCTATTTTTTATAGAGACACTTTTGCTCAGGCTGGTCTCTAACTCCAGAGCTCAAACGATCCTCCGCCTCGGCCTCCCAGAGTGCTACGATTACAGGTGTGAGCCACTGCGCCCGGCCTATATATGTTTTTTAAATATTCCAAACTAATGTTTTTAAAAGAGACCTGTACATTGATTGTTTATTGAGAACTACTTGAAGCCAACTTTAGAAATGCCTAGATGTACTGAATAAGTTTTACTTAAATTAATTTTCTTATCATTATACCTACTTATTTATATTAAGTGTTGAATAAGATTCAAAGGACTCAGGCACATCGTCTTGAGTCCCAGCACTGCCACTTACTAGCTACATGACTGTGGGCAAGTCACTTAACCTTTCTCAGCCCATTTTCCTCATCTGTAAAATGCAACTGATTAATACTGCATTTTAATAAATTAATACTGCATTAATAAATCCAGAACTGCTAGATTAAATGAAATAAAAATGTAAAAATACTCTATAAACTCGTAAGACCCTATAAAAACATCAGTAGTTAATATTACTTACCCTGAACGTTTCACTAAGGACAGCTCTTCTCATACAACGAATACTACTGGCTATGCTTGTGCCAGAAATCAGCATGTCTGGATATAGAATCAAATATCCAAAATGTTTATCTATTATCCAAGTACCAGCTGTGCAGTCTCCCTCCAAATGAATGATATCCCCTGGCTCTACTGGTACAGAGCACCTGAAAATACAGCAAAGTTAAGGTATAAATATTAACACATAGTTTAGGTTCCTACATTTAAATGTATTAGGAGGCCAGGCGTGGCGGCTCATGCCTGTAATCCTAGCTCTCTGGGAGGCTGAGGAGGGCGGATCGCTCAAGGTCAGGAGTTCAAAACGAGCCCGAGCAAGAGTGAGACCCTGTCTCTACTAGAAATAGGAAGAAATTAATTGGCCAACTAATATATATAGAAAAAATTAGCCAGGCATGGTGGCGCCATGTGTGGTCCCAGCTACTTGGGAGGCCTTGAACAGTGATTGTTGAGCCCAGGGAAGTTTGAGGTTGTGTTCGAGCTTAGGCTGACGCACGGCACTTCATTCTGCCTGGGCCAGCAAAGTGCAGACTGCTGTCTCAAAAAAAAGAAAAGAAAAAGTGAATGAAGAAATTAGGAGGCCGGCCCTGATGGCTCACGCCTGTATCCTTAACAGATCTTGCGGAGGGCGAAGGCGGGGCGGATTGCTCAGTTCAAACTAGCCTGGCAAGAGCTGAGACCCCGTCTCTAACTACTAAATGAAGAATTAATTGGCCCAACTAGACTAATTATATAAGACATTAAGCGAGTGCATGTGGTCGGCGCTACTGGCTGTCAGCCCAGCTACCCGCGAGGTGAGGCAGTCCAGGCAAGGATCACCGAGCCCAGGCGTTTGAGGTTGCTGTGAGCGTAGGCTGACGCCACGGCGCACTCACCTAGCTGGACACACAAAAGCGAATCTGTGCTCAAAAAAAAAAAGATAAATTAGGAAAGCTTAAAAAATAAATGAGCATTTTATCTGAAGAAGAAATAATTATTTCTGAATTCTGCGGGGTTTTTTGGTTTTTTTTTTAAGAGAGTGTCTCCCCCTATTGTCCAGGTTAGAGTAAAGTGGCCCAGTCATAGCTCGCTGTCACTTCAAACTCCTGGGCTCAAGGGATCCTTCCACCTAAGCCTCTTGAGTAGCTAGGACTACAGAGGCATGCCATCACACCTGGCTAACTTTTTAATTTTTTTCTAGAGACAGTCTCACCATGTTGCTCAAGTTGGTCTCAAACTACTGGTCTCAAGCAACCCTCCCACCTCAGCTGCCTGAGGTGCCAGGACATGAGCCACTGTGCCCAGCACACCATGAGTTTTGTTTTGTTTGTTTTTGAAACAGAGTCTCACTTTGTTGCCCAGGCTAGAGTGAGTGCCATGGCGTCAGCCCTAGCTCACAACAACCTCAAACCTCTGGGCTCAAAGCAATCCTGCTGCCCTCGGCCTCCGAGTGCTGGGACTACAGGCCATTGTGCCACCATGCCCGCTTAATTCTTTTTTATAATATATAGTGTGCACATTTAATTTCTTTTCATAATCTCTAGTGGAGACTCGGGGTCTCGCTCTTGCCAGGCCTGGTTTCGCATTCCTGACTTGAGCGATCACCCTACCTAGGCTCCCCAGAAGCTAGGATTATAGGCAGGCGTGAGTCACGGTGCCCAAACCTCATACAATGAGTTTTAAGCTCCAACCTTAAAAACAAATTACTGGGATATAGGAATCATCATTATAAGCCTTTGTACTGACTTTCAAATGACAATAAAAATCAACCGTTTTGGAATAAGAGACTATGAGATGCTGGGGTAATCAATACATATTTTGGCATGCAGAATTAAGCCGGTTCAACAATACTCCCCATTCTTTTTTTTTTTTTTTTTTTTTTTTTTTTTTTTTTGAGCAAGCAGTCTCGCTTTTGTGTGCCCAGGCTAGGTGATGCCGTGGCGTCAGCTAGCTCACAGCAGATCACTCCCTTTTAACAATCTTATGGTAACATCCACACAAGAATATTTGAATGGGGATTAAGATGGTACCTTAAGACTGCCAAACCAGGAGCTACTAAAATCATAAAGAGGCTAAAAGTCAATAATAATACAAATATCATACAAAAATTACCATAGTCATTCCTAAGGATGCCCGATCTTTAACATTACAGCGTTTAAAAAAACGTGATCTTTACATTGTAGGTAGTGA